ACAAGCCTATGCAGAGGAATTTCATTGTGCAGCGAGAACAATAGCAACAACAACAACAACAGCATATCTAACTAAATGGGGCGAAAAGTTAAAAACTTGTTGTAGTGCTTTGGCCGTGTTTGTTGACTTTAGTCAAAAGGTGTGACAATATTTACAATGCGCTCCTAATTGAATTTATTACGTATGTGTTAAGCATTCCATTTGTGTGTGCATGTGTGTGAGCCTGCAAGAAGAATCAAACTCATGTCATATTTGTGGTTGAGTGGGTGGGCGTGGCATTTGTATTACAGCCCATTATACAATGCGTTTATAAATTTGAAACTAACAGAGCTCTGGCAGTGGGAAATATTTGACAGTGGCAAAAATTTCCCATAGTTAACAGCAGCAAAAAGCTCTATAGCGCCATCTGTGTACGACTTGTGAACTACGAAATGCTGGGAGTTGCTATAAAAAGTTCGCCTGCGCAAGCAGTGCACTGCTTGTCATGTGCCATGTCTCGCCTAAGAGTATGCAATGCTCCTTGTGGTTGGTGTCCCTGCTAAGCCAGTGGCTGTGTGTCTGTGCTACGTTGGTGCGGGCTACGTGTCGTATACGCATCGAACTGAAGGCCCTCAGTGCATTTTAATCCATTTGTTTGCGCGGTACGCGCTTCGCATGCCGGCTGCATGAGTAACGGCGAGCCAACGATTGATAAGATGAGCCATTAACGGGGCTTCCGCGCGCAGCCTTCGCCTGTTTGCGCCAGCTGCGGCCCATGAAGTGGAAACGGAAATGCTTGGTATTTGTGCGACGGGCGCCTCGATGCTTAATGCACGGTACTTGACCAACGCTCGCCCAGTTGGGCGATAGCCGCAATAAAGATTAAGCGCAGATTCTTCGCTTATCGCTGCAAAGTTCGATTGCGACCGGAAGCAACTTCAAGCACCTGTTTAACCGGAAACGGGCCATCAAGTGTGCCAATATTATAACATATTTGCCATAACCAAATCCCAAACGATCCCTCCACTCAATCAGTCAACGAGCAGCGATGCCACAGCAAAGGCAAATTCCAATTTTGGCCTCCACCAAGTTCGACGATCTGCGACCCAGCTGAATACCGTTGCCAGACTTGCCAAGCAAATATTTGAGCTGAATGCGAGTCCTAACTGTAAGCGGTACATGCATTTATGTAGATATTGCTTGATGCAATTCATGTACGAATCAAATGTCGAGTCTCGATAATTCGTAATGGCAAGGGAACCGAATTTTTTGCAAATCATAGAGAGTTTCGATTTACTGAGATTTCCATTTAATGGGGTGTAAGAAATCAAAATACGAATTGACGGGGTATTTATATTTAACTTCATTTCAACAATTTTAACTTATTAACAATAAATAAAATACACATTCATTTCAATATTGTGTAATTAAAAACAAAATTAAACATAAACAAAATCATATTAGCGAAAAATTTATAAAGATTTAAAAAAGCTTGAAATTTTTGATTGTTTTATGTTTGTCATACTTATTTTGTATTATTATTATTATTTTTTGCTCCATTAACAATAATGTAAATCCAATAGAGAGAACAACGAAATTTCGCACATGAAGCGACATAAAGGCGCCATGCATGTGCATGTGCGTGCATGCATGCACTGTTTGCAGCCTAACGGTAGTTTAACAGAAAAATCAAGAATTACGAATTACAAGAGATTACGTAACGAAATTACGAATTATAAGAGGTTTCGAAACGGTTCATAAGAAGCAAGATCATGGCCGAGTAGGCAGAGAAATTACGAATTAACGAGGGGACCAAAATGTATGGGATTTTTACGAATCAACGAAGTTTTTTCAAGGGACCAGCAGTTTCGTACGAATTATTGAGGTTTTCGATTTAGCGGGGTACGAATTATCGAGACTCGACTGTATATATTATATTATAGAAGATCCGCCTTGGCCGTACAGCAGAAGCTTGCGTTTCATCTTCATCTTCATCTTCGTCTCAGCGCGCAACTGTTTTCAGCCTAACCCTAGTTTAACAGAAAAATCAAGAATTACGAATTACAAGAGATTACGTAACGAAATTACGAATTATAAGAGGTTTCGAAACGGTTCATAAGAAGCAAGATCATGGCCAAGTAGGCAGAGAAATTACGAATTAACGAGGGGACCAAAATGTATGGGATTTTTACGAATCAACGAAGTTTTTTCAAGGGACCAGCAGTTTCGTACGAATTATTGAGGTTTTCGATTTAGCGGGGTACGAATTATCGAGACTCGACTGTATATATTATATTATAGAATTCAATAAAGCCAATTCAACTTTCTTTTTTTTAATATTTGTATGTAACTC